CACTTTGGCAACATTGATACTCTCATTTCTGGCAACACTGACCGCCATAATTCCAAAGCCTCCTCCCTCCTCCCTCCTCCTCTCTACCATCACAAAATAACCTGATACCGTCTGAAGTGTGGTCCGTGGGAGAGGTGTGGAGGATATTGGTGCACTGTCCTCACTCTGGTGGCATAGGAAAATAAATCTTGTGTCTTAGTGGTTCTCGACCGTCAAAGAAAATGACACAGAAGAGGGAAAAACTTCAAAGAAATGGGGGTACATAAAGGATGTCTAAAATAAAGCGACGGAACAGTAAGAAATAGTCTTTAAAGAAATGGTAGAACATGAGGGAAGATTTAAAAGATGATGAAAGACGAATATATATTAAAGAAAAATACAGGACTTTGTAAAAATTTCGAACTCAATGGCAGGTAAAGAAAGACTTCGAAGAAAATGACAGCAAACACGGCGCCCCACACACACACACACACACATAAAGCTTCACCTAAAGTTACAAAGTCGCGATTCAGGTCAATAAATTTCATTAACGGTGGAAGTCCACAAAGTCTTAGTAATGTCCGCCCATAGTGGAGGGCTTGGGGGGGGGGTAGAGGGGGGGTGGGTAGGTAGGGAGTGGGGGCAGATAGAGGTTGGGTTAGAGGGGGTGGGGCAGATAGAGGGGGTTGGTCGGTAGAGGGTGGGGGCAGGGTGGGGGGTAACTCAGATTGAAGGATGGGTCTGGAGGATTTGTGAGGTAAAAGTCGGGATTTGTGAGTTGAGTAGGATTTTGTGAGGTAAGGGTAGGATTTGTGAGGTGAGAGTAGGATTTTGTGGGAGAATGATTTTGAAGTGAGGGATTTTTGAGGTGAGAGTAGGGCTTTTGTGAGAGGAAAAGGCTGGAGCTTTGTGGAATGAATAAAGTCAGGGGAGAAAAGGGATTAAAAAATAAAGGTGAGAAGATAGAAAAGTAAGAGGGAAGAAAATCAGAGGAGAGAGAAGGAAAAGAGTAAGAGAGGAGGAGAGTAAGGGTGAGGAGAGTGAGAAATAGGGAAGGGGAAAAGGTTGTCAGTGTCTCGTGGTAAGAGTTAGAGGAAGAGGGAGGGATGAGGGTCGTGACCTGGCGGAGGGGGAAGTCGGGAAGGAAGTGAGTCTCTACTTGGGAAGGTCTGAGAGAGGGAGGGGAGAGGTAGTAGAGGTGGGAGAGGAGGACTTAATAATTCAGGAAATCTCTCTTTGTTCTTCTTTTCATTCTTTTTCCTCTGTTCCCAAAATCCTGGAAGGCTGAGCGAAAAGCTATTTTTCAGGTAAAAATTTCAAGTACACTCAAGTAGGGACAGAAATTATGGATTGAGATTTATTTTTTTTCCTTTTCGAGTAAAAAAGGTAATCCTGGAAACGAGAAGGAAGATCAAAGGGCATTTTATACTCTCGTGCAGGGCGGTTAACGGAAAAAATAATAACACACACACACACACACACACACACACACACACACACACACCTTCCCCCAACCTTTATGGACCATCCGGGACCTCCTCCACACCTTCGTTTACTCGCCATAAAGATAAACCATCTTCTGTAGTGAGCTGGAGTGGCCATACAGCTAGGTCCATTGGGGAGGAGGAGGTGGTCCAGGAAGAGCGTGGAGGTGCCCAGGAGAGGAGCATTGAGATAACCAGGATAGGGGCGTGGTTGCGGCCAGGGAGGAGTGTGACGGTGGCCAGGAGGAGCGTGACGAGGGGAGGAGCGTGGACGTGGTCTAGGGAGGATCGTGGTGATGGCCAAGAGGGAGCATGGGGGTGGCCAGGTCTTGGCCACCAATAATAAAATATATTAAAAGTTGTTCAATAAGTTTGTGATAGGACGCGGCGGCCATGTTAGGCAGGAGGGTTGAAAGCTTATTAAAGTTTGTGAAATAAAATTATTGGATATTACAACCCGATCCTGCTGACGCTGTCTGATGCTCCCTGTCCGGAGGAAAAGACTCCACAACCACTGAGGCTACAGATCGTGAAGCCACAGCCGGGAGCCCACAGCCACTGAGGCCACAGATCGTGAAGTCATAGCCGGGAGGCCACAACCACTGAGGCCACAGATCGTGAAGCCACAGCCAGGAGGCCACAATCGTGAAGCCACATGGGAGGCCACAGATCGTGAAGCCACAGCCAGGAGGCCACAGATCGTGAGGTCACAGCCGGGAGGCCACAGCCACTGGGCCACAGATCGTGATGCCACAGCTGGGAGGCCACAGCCACTGAGACCACAGAAGGGAAGCCATAGCCACTGAGGCCACAAATCTTGAAGCTACAACCAGGTTTGCACTTTTGTCATTTCGACGTAATGAAAGTACAAGTAAAATATTTAAAAATAAGATGCAACATTGTGAAGAATACTTGTTAATGTACACCCTGTGAGTAGGCTGTAGATATATCACGAGATGTTTGAGTGCACTAATCTCTCCTTAGATAAGGTGTGCCTGACTCATACACTCACAAGGAAGAACAAAATTTTCTCTCATGTAGTAGATCAAGGTCTTGAGGAGCCTGTGAAGTGGCCACCAAGACCTTCCCGATAAGCCCGTGAGGAGACGCGGGTGGAGTCAAGTTCGTAAAGTTGAGGCAGATATTCATAAGCTTCCCAGAGATAAGTGTGATCCTTGACCTATTTACGCCCTCCAGCGGTGCCTCTGTACACGACCTTGTGCAATATTTCTGCAGTGAGTCTTCGGGCACCCCGTGGTAGGTGTACGGATCCTTAGTCCACATAAATGTCACCTCTGGATTCGTGGTACAGTACTAGGGATCCATCACATCATATGTCCTTCAAAATTCCAAACCGTTACATGCACAACGCGTCTGCCACATCCCGTCACAGCGCCAGACCGTAGTCACACTACCTGGGCATCATCATAGTATCAATAACATATTTGAGCTTTAGTAATAAGAAATAAAGGAATATGATAATGTTGCTGGTATATACTTAATCGATACTAAAACTTGAGCTAAGTGATACTCGTTCGTTCCAAGTTGCAAGTTTTGAGGAAAAGTTAGTAAATCTCATCATAGCATCATATTGATTAGTTAATTTAGTTACATAAGATAATAGTGAGGTTCTTTTGCGAGCAACATAACCACAACATCCTCGGGGTCGGTTTAATATTTTTTTCCACTTTCTTGTTGTTGGGTACAAACCAACAAACCATTATATTGAAGTGGTTTGTTGTGAAGGGTTTTGTTGGGACATAGACAAGTGGCAAAAAAAGCCGAAATCACTGTTATTTTCTGTTAATAAATTGTGGACAAAACCTCAAGACTGTGTTCATCGTCGGTAGAATTATCTATGACTCAAACATCGGGAGGACAAGTTACTGTACCATGAGGGGTAACGGAGAGGTCAGTAATGGGTCGTTCCTACCGACGATTGCTGCTAAGGTTCTGGGGTGGGTATCATTAATGAAGTTCGGGTGTGGTGTTGGGTAATATTCGAAATATTGTGATGAACTATAAGAGACTTTGTAAATATAACCAAATCTTCTTCATACACTACTCGAAAATTACACGTTACTTTATTGTGGTCCTCGACTAGTGGTCGTGACCGCCTCACTTCCCTCCTTGTTATCGCTGTTTGCTCCTGGTGCCATAATCAGCACACGGTAGCGCGAAGCAAACTTTGTGGACCTCGCCTTACCAGGTATAGAAACACTGCTGAATAACTTATACGTAAATGTGAAGGGTTAACGGTGTTGCTCCCACCAGCACCCTAACACTCAGCCTTCGCTCATGTTTGTTACTGATCTGCTCTTCAACACCTGACTTGTTTACATGAGTCTCCCGCCCAAGGAAGAGATCAACAGCGCGTGGCGTGGCGTGGCTGGTAAGGTTATCTGGAACCACAGCTACAATAGAAATCAGAACGTTTAACACAAACCTGAACTACTTCCGTCTCATGACAACCACATGCATACTTTGGCTGCAGATAAGCTGATTATCTCTCTCTGACATAAGCAGTCAGTCAGTGAGCCTTGGTGATTATCCTGCGAAAGAATAGGATGGTTTTGAAGCACAGGGTCAGCAGTACTGACACACGCCATAGATTAGACCCAAGACTCCTCAACATAACATTTTGTCAGTAGTACATGAACTTTAGTCTGGGGTCCACGTACAGTATGATGATGATAAAAACTTGGCACTTATTATTACCAAACTGTGTAAAACCAGAATTCGTGTACAGGATATTACTCCTGTACTGAACAATCACGAAGATATAATAAAAGTGATAAAAAACACAAAATACATATAGATGTGTGCATGGAAATAATCCAAGTGGTGACGGCTCCTCACCAAGTAAGTCTGCCAGTGGAAACTATCGACAGTTTCAACTGCAAAAAAAAGGAACCTCACAGCTATCATGCATCCTCAATCCTGTCTGGTACAGTGCAGGATTTACGATGATAACAGACAAAGGAATAAAGAAAATAAAAGACCGAATTTTGCCAACTGAAGTGAAAGGAGCGAAATGGGGAAGGCGAGGCTCACCACTATAGCCGCACCTCCAAACTCACTCTGAGAGAGACAGAAAGAATGATAAACAAGAAGAAAAAAAAAAAAAAGACGCAGGGGTTATGGAAGGTACAGGTCGCTCATTCTTCACTCTGATAAAGGAACAATCCATCACAGATGAAAAGGAGAGGAGGATGAGGAGAGAGGGCAAAGGAGGAAAAGAAGGAAAAGAGAAGAAAAGAAAAATTGAAGGAAGTAAAAGAGGCAAATGGAAGATAAGAAAATGTAAGAAGGCAGACGAAAAAAGGGAGGTGTAGCAATGAAGATAGAGAAAGCAACATCTGCTCATAGGATATTCTCTTCTGGCTGATGATGGCTGGCCTTGAATGTGGAGGTGGGTGGAGATGGGTGGCCCTGAAGGTGGAGATGGGGACAATGAAGGTGGAAGTGGGTGGCCCTGAAGGTGGAGATGGGTGGCCCTGAAGATGGAGATGGGTGCCTAAGGTGGAGATGGGTGGCCTAAAGATGATGGGGACAATGAAGGTGGAAGTGAATGGCCCTGAAGGTGGAGATGGGTGACCCTGAAGGTGGAGATGGGTGACCCTGAAGGTGGAGATGGGTGGCCCTGTAGGTGGAGATGGGTGGCCCTGAAGGTGGAGATGGGTGGCCCTGAAGGTGGAGATGGGTGACCCTGAAGGTGAAGGTGAGTGACCCTGAAGGTGAAGGTGAGTGGCCCTGTGGGTGGAGATGGGTGGCCCTGAAGGTGGAGATGGGTGGCCTGAAGGTGAAGATGGGTGACCTAAAGATGAAGATGGGGACAATGAAGGTGGAAGTGGGTGGCCCTGAAGGTGGAGATGGGTGACAGTGAGGTGGAGTGGCCTGTGGGTGGAGTGGGTGGCCCTGAAGGTGGGGATGGATGGCCCTGAAGGTGGAGATGAGTGGCCTTGAAGATGGAGATGGGTGGTCCTGAAAGTGGAGCTTGGTGGTCCTTGGGATTGATGGATGGCCCTGGGAGTTGATGGGTGGCTGGGTGGTCCTGAGGGTGGATGGGTGGCCCTGAATCCTCACCAACGTCCAGGATGTCCTCATAATATAAGGAAGTTATTCTTCTCACTAATACATATATTCCCACACTAAGACTTGCGTGAGTAATTGTCAAATAAATCCTGAGGCGAGTCGGACTGAGTCACGGAGATTCGCAGAGACAACTGAAGATTAATGGTTCCTGCTCTACTGCCCTCCACCAGTTTACTACACACACACACACACACACACACACACACACACACACTCTCTTCTCCCCACACACACACACACACACACACACCCCTCTCTCTCTCCCCCACACACACACACACACACACACACCCCTCTCTCTCTCACACACACCCCCCCCCTCTCTCTCTCTCTCTCTCTCTCTCTCTCTCTCTCTCTCTCTCTCTCTCTCTCTCTCTCTCTCTCTCTCTCTCTCTCTCTCTCGTGTCGAGGTGGCAGAGTAATGCAAGATACACAGAAATTTCCTTTGAACATTATATTCTAAGACACAAACTGAAATATGTATAATAAAGACTAATAAATATTTGGTAAAAAATAATATTACTTAAACACATCGATGAACCAGGCGAGTTCAAGGCCAACAAGGTTCACTCCGCATTAGTGTCTCTTCATCTTAATGTAAACGTAAGATATCCTGTAGAAATTCGCCACATAATGGATGTTTATGTAGCAAGGTTTTTCCACCTGCAACGTTAACAGGTTACCAGCTGGTCTTATCCCAAATACGCCAGAAAACCTCAGCAACCTTACAACAGCCTCGGTTATCGCCTCGACAAATTCTCAACCTCACCGACCGCGCTTTTCACTGCGACAAACTACCGACGCTCACTAGATTGGGAAGTACATTACCTAAATTTATGGTAAGTATAAGGGACTTTGTGGGTGTTTATGGACGCAGTAAGTCACACTCCACACCGTTAATTGTCAACAAAATTAACTTTGGTTCTTGTGTTGTCGACCCGGTAGTGTTGATGGTGATGGGCGGCACTCAACTGAGGCCCTGCTGCCTCTCTTGACCTCCTCTTACACTGATTGTTGTTGGTGTGTTGTAGTGTTGTAAGAGTTGATTGTATTTTGTTCTCTTATTGTTGTTGATTGTGTTGTATCCCTGATTATTGTTGATTGTGTTGTATCCCTGATATTGTTGATTGTGTTGTATCCCTGATTATTGTTGATTGTTATCCTATTATTGTTGATTGTGTTGTATCTGATTTTTTGTTTGTATCCCTGATTATTGTTGATTGTGTTGTATCCCTGATTATGTTGATTGTGTTGTATCCTGATTATTGTTGATTGCGTTGTGTTCCCTGATTATTGTTGATTGTGTTGTATCCCTGATTATTGTTGATTGTGTTGTATCCCTGATTATTGTTGATTGTTGTTGTATCTGATTATTGTTGATTGTGTTGTATCCCTGATTATTGTTGATTGTGTTGTATCCCTGATTATTGTTGATTGTGTTGTATCCCTGATTATTGTTGATTGTGTTGTATCCCTGATTATTTTGATTGTTGATCTGATTATTGTTGATTGTGTTATGTTGTTCTAAGTGTTGTTTGTGTTGTATTGTACTAAGATATCTGTAGTTTTGGGTGTTCATTATATGGTGTTACTGTGATTTTTTATTACAGTAAAATGAGTGTATCACCACCACCATAACACTACAACACGTTTATCACCATAACACAACAACGCTACACTATCCACCACAGCCTCGACGACTGACTTGCTCTCAGTCTTCATAAATTTACTAAATTAGGTGACACACAACGTCGCCAGATGTTGTGTGTGTGGCTGAAGTCATTGGTCAGAGGAAAAATAATCTTTAACATAACCTCTCCTGTTTTATCATTGTCCAATTCTTTCTGACAAGTTCACAAACACACGTAATTTCCTGCAGTACATGGTCTTGGGTGGGGAGGTCATAATACCCACTGGACTTTGCAACATCAGTGAAAAATTTAAGCGGAATCCACCTTTGCTTTCTCTTGTTTACATATTCGTATACCCGTGCACAGTGGAGCGAGTAGGGCTATGATTGGTACAACTTACCATGACGTCATGCTACAATTCTCGCCTATTGGTCAATGATGTTTTCCGTAGATGCCAAGACTTTGAAATTAGTAACATAGATTTTTCTTTATCATTCTCCGCACTAAACTATATATAAGTGTTTTTAGTAGTGAACCCCATGAATACAGATTTGAACTTATATTTGACATTCCGGCACTTGCAGAAAATACCAACATACTGTACTTGGCCTTTGAAGAACTGCCGCTACTTCGTGTAATCCTCATTATTCCCCGTCCCTCTAAATGTCAGGCTAAATCTTTAAGCTAACATAATGACTTCAGTACTCGGATCTCTTCTGTTACACCGTCAGAGGTTAATAATAAGCCTATTTGAGGACCGGAGTAATCCGCCGCCCTGAAACCCTGTGGAGTAGATTACACTCCTCGGCGCCCACGTCTACACTCTGGCTTACGACCATATCACCGGCGGTGAGAGAAGCGACGAATGTAATTGGAGATTACTGTGATGCCCATTATTGTCTCCTCTAGGTCTGTAGATCTCTGGTTCCGCTATAAATGCGAGTCTCCCGAAGCTGTTGTGAAGATGGTAATGCGATCAGCTTAATCTTAAACTATGGGTCGTCATTACTTTTTAGCTTTGTCCTACAGTAGCGTCACGGCAACATATATTATCAATGTCTAAGTCGTCTCAGAACAATACATATTAATTATTTTCAGCAGCAGGGAAAAAGCAAATGTTAGAAGTACAATATCATTTACCAGCTTGTGTAGTTGTGATAAGTATTTTCTAGTGTCACTATGATTAAGTTTTGGACAGAGTTAATCTACAATTCCTATTTGATTACTATCAAAAAAAATTAATTGCGGGAAAAATATCAAACTGTAAAATTATTCTTTCGTCCCAACATCAACCATTTTGTATTCCCAAACTATCAATGTTGTTGTTTAACATTGTAAAGTCATCGCCTCAGTGTCACCCCAAAAAAAATAAATAAATAAATAAAATAAAATAATAATCTGAATTTAACTCTAAAGACACAACTCACTGTGCCATCTGCCGATCCCACATAAACCAGCTGCGAGACAGATAGTAATGCTTTCTACCACAGAAGAAACTCCCTGTGAGTTTTATCTTGTAATCCCAGGTCTTGGGTTCGAGTCCCTGAGAAAGACGCTGTAAAATGTAAGAATAGGGAGGCTACAGGCATCACCCATCCAAGACGTCCTGATGGGAACGTGAGTTTACAGTATATGCCAAGTTTGTTCAAGGTCGGTAAGTAGTGTAGGAACTTCATCATCATAAAACACAAAACATTCAGGCAGTCGATGGCTAATAGTACGATGCCATCCTCACCCCCTCCCCACTATCTCCCAATATCTTTCTTCCCGCATCTCCTCTCTCTACACCCCCCTCCTGGCCTCCCCTATCCCTCGGACGTCTCACAGCTACCCTCCCTCATCCATCACCGACGGCCATCTTAAAACAGTGACAGCAATCACAGAGTTTCCTGCCCACCTCTGATCTCCTTCTCCCCATGTGTCTTATTTTCCTTCTCTCATACATTTATCTCTTATCTCTTCTTCGATCCGCCCGCTCTCGCTGTCTCTCTGTCAGTTAAAGCCTGTCTGTCTTTCAAAATGTCAGGCTGTCGCTCCATAGAATGACACGCCAACCCTGCCTCTCTCCACCCTCCTCGCCCCTAGGGACCATCCCCATTATGATATGGGTGGCACACAATGACCTGAGCCGCCCTGTGCTTTGCTCCGACCATAGTAGGGAGGGACCACTGTTACAAGGACACGACCCTCTGCACTGTGGGGTAGTGTGGGGTGATCGAGGTGCAGGTTTTCTAGGCCTCTCCTGCGTCACAGAACAAAATATTAAGCACAAACATCAACAAGAAACTTCCACTAATGTAAGAGACACTCACGTAGGCACAAGTCTAGCATACTGACGTGAGAGACTAAGTCATAAATATATACACCCAATTTACACGAGGCTTTGGTGGTCGTGGGTGGTGTACAGGCCGGAGACACAGGCCAGGGTGTCCTTCTGCAGGACGTTGGCACCGCCTCAAGGGATCAGTGGAATGTCCCGGGCAGGTCGCCCAGACGCCTCTCACTAGTGTGGAAAGTGAGATAAATACTCCGGGAATGTGAGCGTGACGTTGCAGTAAACTCTACTACGCCAGGCTGGTTGACTCGTGTGGCTGAAGACCCGACAACAGCTGAACAGCAGGGAAGAGTGGTCAGGTGTCCCCAGAAAGGGGGATTGGCAGAGTCAAGGAAGAAGCGGAGGTACTTTTCCTAGGACAGTGCCAGGTAAGTAAAGGATACTTTATGCTATAAGTCGCGCGGATCCGACCTTGACGCCACATAAAGCTACAGCACCAGCAAGTTCATCTTTGACCATTGCAGTTTGTCATTCTCGATATTTTGAATTTAGTCGTATTTCGCTGCAGCAAGTCGTGGCCTCGTAAAGTAATGTAACGATAAAGATGAACGACAAAAATAAAGTTACCGCTGTTGCCGTGGTAAAATATATTTTGATTAAAACAAGTTTTATATCATCTTATTTATACTCTGAAGTGCATTGGTCTATTTAAGTACTAAATTACATTGTTTGTGATTCGAGTGTTCGTCCGCCAACTCTCATTGTCATAACATTTTATTCTTGTTTTATCCAGTCGTCGACCTCATTTCCCAGTTCTCCATCGTGGAATTCAAGTGTGAATGGCGGTCATTATGACCTCGTTCGGGAGACGTGTGACCTGTCATGGCCCAGGACGCAGAGCTCCTGGAACAGCCATGACCCGTGACGCCACTCAGGGCGCGCGACAACTGCCTTACTCACCTCGACACTTGACACATAAAATGACTTTACGTCCTTTCCTTACTGAAGAAACACTGTTCAATCCTCCTGCTAGCCTGACCTGACCTAACCTGACCTTACAGGACAGTCACTACAGAACGACAGGACACTGTAACAACATCGTCCAT